CGGTTTGGCATTTAGGGGGCGAACATCATCAATGAACATACAAAAAATCACAAAAATTCTACACCTCTCGTAAAAGTAAGTCGTTCATGCTGATTTTCGAAGCTGTCGTTTTACCACAACGGAACAAAAACCACTCAGAAAAGCAAAAGTGAAATAAATATTTGTTTGGCAATTGTTGAGTGAAAAAATTTCGAAAGTGTCGTTTTAGCAACAAACGGAACAAAACCACTCAGAAAATCAAAAGTAAAATATATAAAGCTTCGTTTGGCAATTATTGGGTGAACAATTTCGAAACTGTCGTTTTGCCAAACAAACAAAACAAAACCACCCAGAAATTCAAAAGTAAAATAAAGATTCGTTTGGCAAATATGTGGTGAACAACAAGTGTGTCGGACGTTGACGTGATCAGAATGTATGCACCACACACTGTGTTTAATCACAAATGACTAATTACACACATTGAATGACAGATTGCACTAATCACTCATGATAAGCATGATGTTTGCTAGTACTATCGCCAACGGTCACGTTCTTACAACTATCTAATGCTTTGACTTTCAAACAAATCAATCAATAAAATGCAATGTTTCGCTGTCAAGAACGTATTTGGAAAACAAAGAAAATCGTCAGTTTTTCTGTGGAATCGAATTCGTTTTTTTTTTTCTGTGATAGCAGTGCGCTAAAATGAACCCAGTGACTCCAAGTAAAAGGTTGTTATTTCACATCCAATTACAATAACGACATGCGTGTTCTACAAAATGTTCGTGTAATCCGCATATGATGAAGCCAAACCGCTCACGGTAGTGCTTACTTGACGGTTATACAATAATGGAGCGTGCAGCCATATCGTACTGCATGGCATATACAAGAAATCACTGTGCACGTACCAATAGCAATGCGTGTATATTAGATAATGAATACAAAGGCAGAACTACAAGATTTCAGGTGATAAAATAAAGCATGATCTACAGCAAGAATATCATGCCATAAACTCTGATCAAGATGTGTTGATTTCTATAGACTCACCAATGGTGTTCTTAAACATATTCAATTGCCCTACGACGCATCGCTTTGGCAACCAAGTTTTAAATCAAGTTTAAATATGACGAAATAGTGAAACAGAAAAAATCTAGGGCTGTATTACAGACTGTAGTGCACTTGTTATATAGGAGAGGGAGGGAGGGAGGAAAGGAAGTAGGAGAGAGAGAGAGAGAGAGACAGACAGACAGACAGACAGAACACTCCTCCAGGCCCCCCATTCACATGCCCATGTACAATGGTGCACAAACGCCCGAACCCAATATAGCGGTGCAAGTAAAGTCACAGGCATGCTCTTCAAAATATTGAGTGCAAAGATTGCAAGTATGATTGTTTATTCTAGGGTCCCACTTGATGAAGTTCGTATTAGAGTTTCACTCTTCTGGAACCATGAATAATAAAAAAAAACATACGTTACTGTCACAAATGCATAACGTCCAGCTGTGGAAACGTATTGCTCACTTTGAAAATTCAATCATCGATGGTTTTGTTCTTTGATTTATCTCTTTTAAGTATAACCTTGTAAAATTTATGATTATCTTCTGTATAGAGGAGTTAATTGTTTTTGGCGGCTTAAATTTGCGTGTCACTGAATATTAAAAAAGGGGGATACACCCTACTGAAAGTAAAATAAACATTGAATAAGGTATTTTCTACTCCTGGTCCAAATGTTGTTTCAGAAATGACAAACTGTCATGGAATCACAATATATATTTTCAGTCAGCAACAGAAAAGCATGTTTTCTATTGCACTAATTGCTTGGGTAAGATGAATTTTTTTTGGGGAGGAACTACGTGCGTTACCTACATTGTAGTATTAGCCATTAAGCAATGCCACTTGAGTTACAGTTTAAATCTTTATAAAACATCATTACGTCATATATAATTTAATTGAATCAATACAAAATATAGTGGAACGCGATATAAAAATTAAAATTAAATGACCCAGAACATACGTTAACCGGAGCATTCGTTACATTCAGGCTCCTTACATAATGCAAAGGCATGGTTAAAAATTTAAAATTAAATTAAAATGGAGACGGTCGTGGATATTTGTTCTATGCACGTTTTAAAAAATTGAATACAACTTTGAATTCATTCAATTTTAAGTTTTGTTCACTTCAGTTTGTGAAAAGCAGCTGTGTATTAGGTTTGGATGTTCAATGAATAGAATATTACCTCATTTGACGTGTAGGAAACATGCCTAAAAGCAATAGAATCGAGCATTTTGTACCTTCTACTCAAAATTTTATTGCTGGACCCGTTGTCGCACCTGGGATCACTGTTTTATTTTGTTTTTAATTTGAATGATTTGGTTCCAAATGATGAGTCATATTAAGTGCCATGCCTTCCTGAAGATTTTAGAAGAACCCATCATTTAATACAGTCTTTTGACGTTTTCGCTGGGAAAGATTTGTAGCTTTACACGATGTGTTGACAGAAAAAATGACTTCGGAGAATTTCCAGCGCCTGCAGGTAGCATACCTCAAAATAAGTAGGTTAAAGCCATCACGCCGCCTTTCACTTTATTTCTCCCTACTTCGTGTAAACAGTTTTTTTCAGTATATGTAATCTTCGTGCTATTGTTCTCAGAATCAGCTGCTACTTAATAACCCATATCTTAATAATGCCAAGGACTGTGAGAACTAGGGACTCATTATCTGTGTAACCCTACCTGAACTATCTAATAGGCTCTCTCTCTTATTAACGTTATCAAAGTAATACAATACACGCACATACACGACACGCAGGTGTTTCATAAGCTTTAATGGGCTGCCCCCCCCCTTCCCCCGCGTCCCCTGCCCACACGTACAATGAACGCCAGGAAAACCAAAACCAAGGACTTGGAAACACGATAAAAAACTAACACTTTAAGAACATATGCCCCATATTAACGAAACTCATGCCATAACACGTGGATATCATTCTAGTTGTTATACTATTATCAAATGGTGGTTTTATGGACTTCATTACTACTCAGGTTAACTATGGTCATTTGGCTGGTGACCTGCTATCAGCAGTTTGGGGATGAAAGTGTTTTTTTTTTTTTCTTTTTTTTATATATATATATATAACCTGGTCTCGCTTCAGATAAACCCCCACGGTTAACATAACGAATGTAAGAGTGAGTGTGTGTGAACGTACACACACTGGACAATAGAAGTGTCACCCCCTAAATCAGAGTAATAAAAGTAGGCAGATCTTGGGTAGTTATAATACCTGGTCTACTTATAATGTGACTAATGAGTATAAAACCGCTTTACCATGGGATTGTATTGTTGGCCTTGTACAAATATAGCAAATTTTATTCCTGTCTTCCTCCAATATGACAAGATACAGGCAATTATCTAACGGTTATAGGCGTCAAGTTATTAACCTGAAGAGGCGGAATATAAGCAATGTCAGAATATCGATACAATTGAATTGTTCAGTCAGAACCATGCACAGGGTCTGGTCTCGGTATAGAAACACTGGATCAAGAGACAAATTGCCTCTGATGGGTCGTCCAAAAAAACTACTGGCCGTGAAGCCCGACTACTGATTTTGATGTCCAGGTTGTCAAAGTTCGACACTGCTTGTCAGTTGACAACGCAGTGGAACAATTTCACACATAGGAATGTGTCTGTGAAAATTGCTAGGCGTCGGTTACATGCTCATAGAGTGTACAGCAGGGTAGCAAGACTGAAACCTCTTATATCGTTACAAAACAGGCAACGTAGAGTGAACTAGGGTCAACAGGATCTGGAACTGGACAGTCCATGACAATTGGTCCTACATATTTTTTTCTGATAAGTGTCGCTTAGGTCTGACCTCTGATGACAGACGGGTGCGATGCTGGCGAACTGCTGGTAAAGCATTTGAACCACATGCACATGCACCGGAGCAGCATATGTATCATGGTGTGGGGCTGCATCAGCATCCATGGCGTGGGCGAATTGATAGTGGTTGATGGAAACATGAATCACTAGAAATATATCGATGCTTTGGAGTCAGGCTTGCTACCATTTATTACTAACATGTTTGGTGACAGGAATTATCCATTTGTTCACCAGGATGACAATGCTCCTTGTCACAGGCCCAGAGCAGTTGATGATTGGTTTGACCAACAGGTTATTCGCAGGGTGATGTGGCCTGCCCAGAGTCCGGATGCAAACATAATAGAAAAAGTGTGGAATGATATGTCAAAACTTTTGACAAATGCCCGTCTAACCAGGAGCATATCATTCCACAGTCATTTATCTCCCCCAAAGTATTGGTTCAGTAGGGGTGACACTTCTATTGTCCAGTGTGTGTATGTGTGTGTGCGGGGGGGGGGGGG